TCAAAATCTTAGTGATGACACTCATTGTGTTTTCATTGAAATAATAAAACATTAATGCCAAATGTTATTTCTTGTTAAAGCATCTGCTTAAGTATATTCATGGATTACTTTTATTTTATCATTTATTTTATTTTATTGTGTAAATTAACCTAAAGGCACGCAGACAGCTCTCTAGCATCCCCCTTGGACTTCTTTCCACAGTAGCAAGACCCAGGAGCTCTAGACTAAAATCTGTTTGGTAAGGTGTTGAAAAACTACAGAATAAAAAAGAAGGCATCTGCCTTGTAACGTCTATAATCTTTATTATTTCTATGTATGGTTATTCTCAGATTTAGTATGCTACCTCCTAAAATCCCTCGCTCCCTTCAGTTACTGCTATGTCATCCCCTTGTGTTTGGGGTCCCCTGCACAAGAAGGATGTTGATCTATTAGAATGGTGCAGCCTGATCTAATGGATGGTTGGAACTAGATTTTCTTTAAAATCCCCTTCAACCCAAGCTATTCTGTTATTCTGTGATTCTATGATTTACAGGTATGTCATAGACCTGCTAGGCAATTCCCTGGCCATTTTTGACAACAGCCATTGCTGTCTTGACCACTCTGTTGTTTTTGTTCTTATTTGGCCTCTGTTACCAGAGAATTTGACTCTTTGTTTGTTGTTTTGTTTTGATGTTTAACTGGGGTTGGGAAAAAGGAGAAAAATGATAACTTGCAATACATCTGGAAGTGTAGCAAAACTGGGCAAAACTGGGCTATGCTGGACCACTCAGGCAACTTGTTTTATTTTGTTTTTGTTGTGGTGGTTTTTGTTTGTTTGTTTGTTTAAATGGGAGTGCTTTTCTGCAACTCTGTCTTTGATGCTGAAGGAGTTTCATGTAAGTTACCTGTGTGTTCAACACAATAGCATGACCTGTCTTATCTTGAAGAAGCAAAATGCTTAAGGACAGGCAAGCTAAAAGTAGCACTGAATTCCACACAGAAACCCTATAGAAGTGCACTTCAGATCATCAGTTTCATTGAATGAACAGTTTGCAACATTTCTGCCTTCATCTCAGCACCTGAGGTATATAGATGCTCTGAGAAGCAACATCTTTTGAAAGGAAAGTCATGGAGCATAGGGTAAGAGTCATCTTAGATATGATGACCACATGGCCTTCCAGAACTGACTATATCAACTCTTTTAAAGCTTCTTGCTGTTTGTCAAGGTTATCTCTGTCTTGTCTAGAGTGTGTTTAATACAGTTAGTCATATGCCAAAATTACATTTGCTTTATTATATTATAGTCCAGCCTCATCCGAACACAGATGGTGTCAGTGTTAATACTGGCCAACTTGCCTGTGCAGTGTGTATTCTATAGAACAAAACCCATGTCATCTCATTAGTCAGAAAGCTGTCCAACATAGTTCTGCTAACTACTAATACAGCTAATATTAGTCTCTGTTACAATCCTTCAGAGTTTATATGGGTCTCAGTTGCCTTCAAAAATAACACTGTATAAACTTTCCATTGCTGAGTAGCCAAAATATTAATGTTTTTCTTTCTTCAATTTGTTTAATGGTCTTGTTCACTTGAGCCCTTTTTCTTTCAGATAATCCATGTGGGAGATCTGCTAAGGTTTCATGAATATTACTGGCAGGATTACATAGGGGAAAGCATGAGTGAACATGTCTCCTACCAATCCTGCAAATAATTTCTTAGGAAGTAAGCTGACTCACACATTGAATGCTTCAGAATGATCAAGTTATTTATCTCATGAGTCTTTAAATAATTCAAAAGGAACCTGACATTTGTATACCAATTAAACACATTTTTTGTGTTATCAAGGAAAGATTAAATTACAGATGCACGACGCTTTCAAGAGCAATTGAAAGGGTGACACTGCCCACAGAATACAACTATGGTATGCTAACTGCACAATTCTTAAATGGGGCAGTGCTACTTTGGAAGTGGGAGGGGACTGCAGAGCAGGAAGCTGTTTTTCCCTACACAGTACTTCTGCTGGTAAAAAGAGCTTACTCTACACCATCAGGGAATTATTCTCCCCAGAAGTTTTGCAGGTTTATCTGTAGCTAAACCTGCCAAATGTGAGATTTACCAGTCAGAGTTTCAGGTAAGGGATCCAAGTTAGATCACACCTCAGATCATATATGCATGCTTAAAGGGAGAACATGTAGGCAGGGAAACTCTGTGCATCATGGCAGGTAATCCCCTAGAAGCCCTGGGTCTGCAGAGATCCAGTAAATGCTGCTGCACCACAAAGTACATAGAAGAGAAAAGGAACAAGCTGCTCCAGGCTTGAGAAAGCAGTCCTGACACCTGGACACAAGCCCAGATGTTTTGGGAGTTTGAAATGTTCCCTCCTGCTCTCTCAACAGCGCATTCTCAGGCAGCCAGCTCCTAGATAAACAAACATAGACAGCAACATTTCCAAACTATTTAGTAGTCCAGCTTTCACTGAAGTTAATTTCAGAAATTAGTGTATTTGCATATCACAGGTCTTAATCCTAAATGCTCTGATAAATCAAGTTATTTTTGAGTTTTCTATTTATTATATAAAAGAGTTTTTTAAGGACAAAATCTGACATTAGCCTCTTTAACACATAAATAAATAACTTTTTCATAGTTTATATACCAGAGCTAATTGAACAAATATTTTTTTCTTAACCTATTACTTATACTTCAGGTAAGAATAACTAACTATGAACATCAAAAAAAAAAAAAAAAAAAAAAGTACAAATGATCATTAAAATAAACATAAAAAAAAAAAAAAAAAAGTGAATATAGACATTGAAGGGCTGAGCTTGGTTTCCACACATTTTTCTAAGCATATTTCTTATTGTCCAGTGCTGCAGCACAATATCTTACTGACAGTTTTCATTAATGAGTTGGTATTCTTGATGTAAAATAACCAGTCTCACAAAGATTCCCCTTTATCACTCCAGTCTTCACATCTTGATTTTCAGATAATTTTTCACTGGGTTATTCATTAATTAGGTCTTTAATTATGGATTAATTAACAGCTGAATTACAGCTGAATCCTTGTACTTCAACTCTTGTAGCACTGATATGTTTACCATTAAGCATGATAGATGTTACATACGCAAGGGGATTTATTACAGATGTATTCCCCTAACACTTCAGTGAGCTGACTAATTATTCAAGGTGATTCTTCCACTGGCAATGTAGCTAACAAAACACTGGACTGATGTCTATGACACAAATCACTCTTTATTTTTTCACAGGGCATTACTGAAGAGAGGTCTATTTCTCTTAAGATTGAGAGAGGTCTGATGGGGATGTATTTTAAGGTTGTTTTTTTCAAAGGAATAACAGTGAGCTCAAAAGTATATTACATATTTTTAAAAGTTGTTGAATCTACGAATATAGCTGTAATCAGCAGATGAAAACAATTGTCATGGGTAGTAGACAAAAAAATCCTCAAAAAGCTAGAGAATGTATTATGAGTTAGAAATACTCCAAATCAATTACTTATTCAAAGACACATGACAAATAAATTTGCATACAGTACCAATGAACAAAACATGGAAACTTTCATATATTATTATTTTAATTAAGCAGAAAGTTACAGTCTCAGGGTTCTCAGACCTGTTTTATGTCATTGATTTTTTTTATTTTTTTTTTTTTAGCAGAACCTTTAATTGACTTATTTACATTCATCATATGGATAATGGGCTTTGGCCATCCCCAGGAAGAAGGACTACTAGAGTTACCTTTCATACACTGGCAGCAGCTTGTGGAGTTAGTTTTATGGGTGACACCATTAGAAATATTATTTTAGATTGCATTTCCTAATTGAGAATAGCCAGATAACAGAGAATAGACAAAATTTTTACTATGTCCTTTTGCTCTCTAGGTCCATTTTCCATGCACTGAACTAAGAAGAATCCTATCCTACTACCTGCATCTTCCCATGTTGCAGAAAGTGAGTAAAAACCCATGTCTGACCTATGACTCAAGCCTTTTAGTCATTTCAAATTTACTCATATGTTGAGTAAAATGCTCATAGCCTAAGAACTCAGATTACATGATCTAAGATGATAGAACAAACAATTTAGATAAGCAAGATAATATGCTGTTTTTAACTACTTCAGCAGCTAAGTTAGCTTAGCTTAAGTGGTCCAAACCCCACCACAGCTGTATTTCCTCAGTTTTCTTCCCTGGCCACTGATGTAGCCTTAGAATTTTCCACCATATTCTCCCATGCCTGTAGATAGGAGAAACAGGTGGCATAGACAGCTGGGCATCCTTCTTGTAGCAGTTCTTCACCTCCACCTTCTCTCTGAGCAAAGTGAATGAAACTCTTTGGTAGGATCCTTTTTGATCCTGGCAATGGTGCTGAGTTAACTACTACCAAAAGGAGGCGAACTGGTCTGTACCATTTAGCCTACAGAAAGTAATATGTCAATGATGACAACATTTGACTTTATATTAAAGGTTTTGCTCACAAAATATTTGGCAAGTTGGATTTCCTATACCATGTTAGATCAGCTGTAAGTGGCCTTCAGAAACTGAACATCTATAACTCTTTTTAAGTTCCACTCTAAATTTTGACAGACAACAAAGATATATGACCTAACTACCCCAACCATTTTTTTTATTGAAAATCATTCACACACCAGCATATGTCCTTGAGATGTAATAGCAAGGGTTTACTACAAATGAGTCATGGAGTGAGCAAATAGCTGGAGTCTTGAAAGCTTTCCTAAATTATACAGTTTGGATTTGTCACAAGTGTAAATGTATTTAGAGGAAAAAACATATGGGGTGAAGTTTACTATCTTTAAAGGTATCCAGCAAACACATCACTTTGGATTAATGCCTTGCATTTCAGCTGTTTTCCCATATCCATTAACACTTAAAAATCCACAGCACAGTAGCAGCAGCAAAGACCTGATAACGACATTTTACTTTCACTGCTATTTCCTACCTTGACCCCACACATCTGAAGAAATACAACAATCAGCAAATCTGTCACTTACCTACTACTAAAGAACACGAGTGTCCAGAGCTCCTGAGTGTACTCTGTGGTTATTTAATTTGGGACACAGAGGTTGTTTATAGCAGCAGTACAGCTCGTGGCCAGCCAGACCTGTCTGAACCCCACAGCGTGACTAGCTTTCCAGATGTACTAATATGCTATATTTGTAAAGTGATAACATGATCTGTGGTCTTACAGCAGAGGCATTGGCAGGATAAAATATCTATACTGCATGACTCAACATAGGACGAGAAACAGCAGTGCTGAGGGCAGCATCTCATTTGCACCAAAGTATAACAGAACTAATGTTATTCGTACTTATGTATTTTCCTTGGAAAAGCAAAAGGAGAATCAACACAATAAAGATACTGAGTATTCCCCTGGTACATACTCTGTCTTCCTTCCTACGTCCTTACAAGTGTGAGAGATAAATAGACACACATGCACACAGACACTCACTGTGCAGTTGCCCTGAATGATTGATTTATAGCAAATACTACTTTTACTTGCTCATTTTTTTATGACTACTGCTGAGAATGGATGACAATATTCCTGTTTGCTGAGTGTTGCCACTGAAAAAAAATATCACTCTGGTATATCATGTTTGTCAGTGTGACTTGAGGGCTGGCAGTTCTCTTGCGGCTTGCCGGGAGGGCTCACAGGGGCTGGGGCTCCCCATGGGTGCAGCAGAGAAGGACCTGCCAGCTGGGCTGGTCCAACCTCCCCAGCCAGTAAAAGGGCAGTAGAGGGTGCACCAGATCCAGGCGCCTCCATGGGGAGAGTAACAGGACAGGGATGGGAATAGGAAGGGGAATGGGGCTCAGGCCAGACCCTGAGATGGGCCTGCAGGTGGGGACAGGGCTGTGGGAAGCTGCAGACCAGCACTTCTGTGGCCTCACTGGGGCAAGGTCTGATGGCCCTGGGGGCTGTAGTGAGATCCTAGGCCATGTTGAGATGGAGAGGAGGGGGCATAGAGTGGGGCTGAATTGGCATGCTGGGCTCTGGGTAGGTGGGAGAGGCCACAGTGGGGAGGGGAGAGGGGAGTGGAGGAGGCAGGCAGGGAGAGGAAGGCCATCAGTGACCTCAGGACCTTGATGACAAATATTTGGGTCATATTCTTAGTAAAATAAACCCATTCATTCCTAATTTTTAAATCTTTCTTTGTCAAAAAATAACTTAAAAATTTATACCTTCAAACAGAAAGAAAGACAATGCTTTTAACAGAAAGTTTCAGGTCTGTTCTTTTCAAAAATAAGGTTTTCCTTCAGAAACATTTCCAAAAACTGCTTTTGATTTAATTTCCTTTTAAGTTCAGCTTTGCAATTAAAATATCATTTAATTTTCTGATAAAGAACTGGCATTTTCCAACCATCTTTGTTTATTATTCATCACTGCCAGTAATAACAAGCATTAATTACAACAGCTGGGCTTGGCTCAAAATTCATATACCAGTTTTACATTGCTGTGTTTCCAGTGCTTGCTCTGAAACCTTACTACGTTGGTACTAGCAGGAGAAAATCTGGGGTGGGGGGGGAAAAAAATGGAGATTTAATCTTTCAAGTTTGTCTTCAAGCCTGGAGGAGATAATATCAGGATTCACCCTGACCTTTTTGATATAGCATGCTTCACTGCCTTGGTGGCATGCCTGAAGAATCTGCACCACAAGTCCTTACCCTTTGGTCATCTTATTTTTCACAAACATTAGTGATAAAAAGGTTATTGATCACCACTACCACATCTGAGTTGCCTAAGATGTATTTGTTGTCTCTTACATCTGCCCACCTACAAGCACATTTTTGCCAAATAGCTATCAGAGTTTTCTGTAGCTGTGATGCATATTGGACTTTAGCTGCAAGAGCTGACTAAGCAATCGGTGAGAGAAGCAATATGCATATATACTGTGGAGCAGACAAAATGCATCCTTTGTGTTATCAAAAGCACACTCTATATTTTTGTTTGCACACTGCCTACAAAAACACATTCCTGTATTTTTGTTTGGAACACAGGAACATTAAATTATTCTTTGGGTACCGCACCTGGGACACAACAACACCAAGCAGCACTACAGGCTGGGAGATGAGTGGTTAGACAGAGAAGTGGCCTGACAGAGAAGGACCTGGGAGTATTGGTTGATAGTTAGCTGAATAGACAGTTGGCTAGCAGTATGCTCAGGTGGCCAAGAAGACCAACAGCATCCTGGCATGTGTAAGAAACAGTATGGCCAGCAGGACTGGGGAAGTGATTGTCCCCCTGTATTCAGCTCTGGTGAGGCTGTATCTCAAGTACTGTATTCAGTTTTGGAACCTTCACTAAGGAATCAAGATGCTTGAGCCAGTTCAGAGAAGGGCAACGATGCTGGTGTGGGTTCTGGAGAACGAGTCTTATGAGGAGTGGCTGAGGGAGCTGGTATTGTTTTGCCTGGAGAAGAGGAGCCTCAGGGGCAACCTTGTCTCCCTCTGTAGGTACCTTAAAGGAGGCCGTAGCGAGGTGGGGATTTGGTCTATTCTCCCATGTGCCTGGTGACAGAACAAGAGGGAATGGGCTAAAGTTGCACTAGGGGAGGTTTAGGTTGGATATTGAGAACTTCTTTACCAAAAGGGTTGTTAGGCACTGGAATAATCTGCCCAGGGAAGTGGTTCAGTCACCATCTCTAGAGGTCTTTAAAAGACGTTTAGATGTAGAATTTAGTGATATGGTTTAGTGGAGGGCTTGTTAGTGTTAGGTCAGAGGTTGGACTAGGTGATCTTAGAGGTCTCTTCCAACCTAGATGATTCTGTGATTCTGTTAATTAGCAATTATATTAATAAATATTTCAGGATTCATCAATCACTGTATTTTACAGTTGTTGATTTTGACCAAGGAAAATAACAGGTCTTGTAGTGTTTCAATGTTGAGAGACTGAGATGGGTCTCAGCAACAGACAGTTCCCATTTAAGTTGTACATCATAGATCAGCTGTTCTCAAAACACTAATCATAGCCTATCCAGAAGGGGAATAGGGGAGTCTTGGGAGTTGTGCTGACAAAGGAATGAGGAAGCAAGGATCAGCTTGTGAAATCAAAATTGCCTAATTTAGAAAAATAAAAAATAAAAGGTGTCTTCCACAGGAAAATGAAAGATGGAAGAACAACTGAGGAAGGAACTGAAGAGAGGTATAACAAGTAACTGAAGAGACTAAAAGAGGGAAAGAGTGAAACAGAGAATATAATATAAGCTAGATCAATGCCTAACAAGCTTCATTCAAAGTCTTTCTTGCCCCTGAGGTTGTAGGAATCCAGTCAAGTTGTAGTCTATTCTTGGAGCTAACAAGGGATCTGGTATACCAACGAATAAAAGGAAAATCTTGGATAGTATGGGCAACAGGCACAAAGGATTGAGAAGTAGACAGATCAGCCAACAGACAAAAGGCTTGTCTGAATCCAGCCAAATTTACTGGCATGTCTGAGACAATTTAAGGCATGCTTGGTTGACAGAGGCTAGTTCCCTAAAAGTACTCTCTGCATACTGCACTCTGCATCCCAGTGCACGGTCTGTTGCAATGCTCCCCATAGGAACTGGACCTCATCATGCTGATGGAGTAGACCTGGCCAGGGTCTGTGTACTCATGCAACATTGCAGTCAAGTGAGTCCTCTTCCTGGACAAGGAGCACTGCCTGGGAAGCACTGCTGAAATAGTCATTTCATAAAGAGGCAGTTCCATTCTGGCAGCTGGAGATAATGAAACTCAATAGACTAGAGCTATCACCAAATGGAGGTGGAGCCAGTGCTGAAATTTCTGGCATCCCAGTCTTGATAATAAAATGCAAAAATGCCCAAGCTGTCACTATGTGAAGCCAGCTGTTCCACAAGATAGCAGCCATATCATTTTCAATGACCAACTCTCACTTAAAGCAATACAGTCTTTGTCATGCATCACTGTATTCATCTAACCCTACTGCTATCCTAAGACAGTAGATCCTCTACCCATGATACTGATGAATCCACAGCTCAGATAGCTAATCTGGATAACCAAGCCTATTAACACATAGATCAAGAGATTTTTTTTTCAATTCTGCTGTAGTTGGAACACACTTAATTCCCCTATCTCGACAACCTTTCCTGCTGTGCCACTTTATAGAAAATACAAAAAGTACAAGTCATCAAAGATACTAACAACATGATGTGCTTAATAAATTATTGCAATAAATAAAAATGCAATAGATATGCTCTTTTGTTGTTTGGTTGGTTGGTGTTGGGTTTTTTTGTTTGTTTGTGTGTTGGTTACGATTTGGATAATAATATGCCATTAAATTCATGTCAGTAAAAGACTTCAGACAACCAAATGAGTATCAAGATAACACAAGCTCTAGACCTAGAATGAGTAAAGTTGGGAAAAGTACTTACTGTAAACAAGACACCTTTCCACTAACACTTCAGACAGAAGCCTGAGAAGAGAAGTGCTTCTAGCATAGCTTTCATGAAAACCACTATGGTAACAATTAGCAGCTATTTAAGGACACATTTCCCACAAATACCTAACAAAGCCAAATTTATGAAAAGATTTACACAAAGTTAGGCTGAAGATAGAACTTCCTATACAATTTTCCATTTGCAGAAAAAAGAAAAAAAAAAAAAACTTTATATATATATATTTGTTGCATTATGCATTATTTTCACACTATCTGTTGTGGCCTTCAGTCTACAGCTGTCAGAGCTGCAGAATGACTGCAATAATACTGCAGAATCCATAAGTCCCATTACACATCAGTTCAGCAGGGCAAATTCGTATATCAGTAACCTCTCAGTCTTGAGGGGTCAGCCCTTTCTCATAAAGTCTCAGTAAGCACCAAGGGAAAGATCCAATTTATAACTCCTGACAGAGCTACCACTAAGAGGTGGTTGCCCTGAAATGTGCCTGGAGCATTAATATGATAGGAAAAATCTCAAGCAATATTTGTATTGTGGGCCATGAGTCACACTGGTTTGCTGTTTTACCTGTGCAATGAAGCCTCTTGTACAGACCCATGCTATTACACAAGTACTTCAGCAGGATTGACTTATGGTTCTTTGGTGAAGTTGAATGAAAAAATAGTCTTGATGAAAAAAAAAAAAAAATTCCTTTGTTGCTTTCTGGCTATTTTGTCAGGGGATCCTATTGAC